TCCGGTGCGGGTTTACCTGTCATTGAATTCTCACACTAAAAACCAGTTCTTGCATTTAAAATCAGTAGAATCTAAATTCCTCTCGATGTATACGAATAGCATTATCGGTTTCTTAAACGAATCAGGAACACTGAATTCTCCTCATCGATAGCTTTTGCAACGTAACAAATTTCCAATGAAATCTTCAGTGTTCAAGAAAACAATTTTCTAACTCGAATAGTTACGTAGTTTACCGGCTACTTAGGCTTACTACTTCACCCCATTCTTATGATAAAAGTGTTTACCCCTCCCTAGGTGAAACAAAGTCTCCCAAACTGAAAATTATTTGCTGATTCATAACTCACAAAAAGTAAAAAAAAAAAATATGGTTAATCTTATTAATTCTATGCCAACAATTCCGTAAGTGATGATCTTCGTGAAGAGGACAATACTATTCAAGCAATAAAACTTTGTCTCAGAGCAAAGAAAGCAGTGTGCAATGCAAACAGGGAAAACATATCCTTTAAGAAATTAATGAAAAACTTAATCTTCAACCGGGAAGAAGTGATGGCAGTAACCCCTGTAAAGCGCAGGATTCGACTTGTTGAATAATATTTCATAGCTTCCTAAAACAAAACACTGAAGGCCGCGTTCGTTTCAGTGCGTTTTATTAGCATGGTGTTCTCTCTGAGATGATGAAAAATCTTTTTTACACTGCAATTCTGCATTAAGGGCAATTTCCCATTGAATTAGAAGATTACTTGCAGAAAAGCACGTTATGATATTTATTTTTTTCGATAATGTGCCCATCTTCTCGAGGACTTAGTTCTGATATGTGGTTGCATACCGACATTATGTTAACTGAAAAACAAAAGAAATAAACCAAAGGAAAATTCGTACCTGATTGTTGGCGAAGACTACTGACTGGAATACAAGTCGAATTAGGTTCCCAAAACGCCGACACTTCTCCTCCAATATTATCACAGGAACACAAACATTGTGTGAGGTGTTTGGCGTTGTATCTGTCACATTGCTGTTGTGCTTTAACGCACTGAGATTCTGGTACTGTGATATCGTCCTTACCAACTTGAATTGACGACTCTCGCCAGATTTTTAAGATTTCTTGAGTCGTACAGCAGCTCAAGATCCCCATTGTAAAGAACAGTATTATCACGGATGACGACGTAGCCATTGCTTTAGCCAACTTTTGTTGTTGAAGTAAGAGAAATGATTTCGTCAATTACGCTAATTTATCGAATCGCAAACTTTCTATCTGAGCTTCGTGGAGACGATTTAGCGCTTAGTTCTCGAAACAGTTTCACTATCAACTTCACTTTATCAATTTTTTCGTAATTTGCGTGTTGTGTGTAGTTACCTGCTGAAACCAAGTAAAGATTGCGACACGAACAAGGCAAAACCCGCCATTCACACGATTCAGGATTCTGCAAATACCATTACCAATATCATACGAAATATACTTGCCATTACTTCCAAAAACGTCTTGGATTAACAGCTAACCTAGCATCATCGTGCAGGGATACTTTCGTGTGTTGTTTATTGCTACATTTACTTCGTTGTGAATAAAAATTCAGTTAAAATTTGCCGCAAGTACGTGATTTTGATAACGAAAAAGAACCCTCTTTTTCTTATGGAACCCAGACTTAAGCTCGTCACCAAATGCATTGTGTTTCAAAATTATTTGCCTTTATCTCAGTCAATATTTGTCGCCAGAAGCGATGCCATGGGAATCAAGGTTTCTCATTTTCCTGTTTTCCTCGCTACACTTAGACGATCAATTTTCCATTCATGGCTTATAGCTTCACTTTAAAATTGTCATGAAGGACTTTTCTGCTCTGTTGATATTGAGATCAAATTTTGTCTATTTTATAGAGGACTCAGTCCATGTGAGGTCAGATAGATCGCACATCAGCACGGTAATTCAGCCGGATTACCGATCTGGCGAAGAAAGACCATCTTCGCCGAACACAAATAACATGCACGTGCACTGGATTAAGTAGTTTTGACAGTCATACAAGGATTTCGGCTGTACGCCAGAAGTCACTGAGGCCTGTAGACTCGAGAGCACTAGGAAAACCCACTTTCTTCATTATTACAGTTATTGAACAAAACGTCTGGATTTAAGTTTAGTTTCGTCGCCATACGAGAGATAAGATTGAAGGTTAATTAAGGCACAGTTGTAGTCAGTGACAAATATATTTACATTCTGCTTGGAGAGGATGTAAATTTTCTTTGCTGGTTTTTTTTTTGTTTGTTTGTTTGTTTGTTTTTTATTTTTTTTTCTTATTTCTCAGACTAAATATTTCGAGTAAATTCTCATTTTCTTGAATCCTGCCTGTAAGCGTTTAATTTCTTTCATGGGTGCGGAAAGGAAATTATATGGCTTTGTCTATGCTAGCTAATACCACTATTCAAATGTATCTGGAGGCCTTTGAAGAGCTGTTTTGATGTATAAAATCCTGGAATTAAATTAAACAATACGTGAGTAAAATCTCATTATACCCCGGCGTTCTTTGTTTTTTTTTTTCTATTAATTCGTCTAAATTGATAGATTGTGATATTAACTCTTAGAAACGTCTGGGAGAATTGACCAATCAATGTATTCATCCCAGATCGCGGAGCCCACAGAGAGTTTCCATGTAACCACATCCTTTTAACAAGAATGCGGTCTTTTGACGTAGGCCAGGCATGGGGTTGTACGAAATGAAGTAATTTTCCTGTTCACATAGTAACGGTATTAATGCATCTTTCTTACAACATGCACAAAAACACGCAGCTTTGGTTTAATATACTCGGCCTTTCGTCTTATGCATTTGACCACATTCTCGAGATTGGTTCACCAAATTTGACTCTACGTCATTTGAAGTCAATGACAGCCCGATATTCTGCGTTAATAAAACAAAATCATGAAAAAAGGGAAACTTCCTTGGTTCTAAAGGAGGACCAAACTTTATCATTGGGAGTATGGAAAGCACCCAGAAGATAGAAATTAACATTCCTCAAATTTTGACGATTTAGGAATTGACTAATTACAAACTTTTATTGTTCGTCAGTGTTTTGTAGGTGAAATTGTTGACCAACCCTAATTGTTTTCTCTGAGAACTAATAGTAATTTTTAAGTAAGAAAAAAAGACAACACTAATCACTGATTAAAATGTTAGTAAGCGTCCGGTCCCGTCTAAATTTAGATTTTACCTCAAATCTTTAGATGTAAAGATAGCAGTGTCAAAAATATTGCTCTTCATCTCGTAGCCTCATAACAATAGGAAACTATCTCATAAGCTTGTATTAACTAGGAAAGGTAAATCTTGAATAAGTGTACTCGTAAACAAAACCAGGAAATTCATTCGTCAATCAGAAGCACAGAAACCGAAAATAGTGGGAGATTACTAAGCAGTTCATGGTTGATCTCAAATATCATGGCTTTGTGCATAAATGATCATCAAAACAAACCATTTCTCTTATATTGCTCATGCAGAAAATGTCACGAAATGCACTTTTTAGCGAGTGACTTTCGATGTGGTCTGTCGAAGACGCAAAGAACTAAGAAGCCAAGCTGAATCTCTGAAAAGAAGTTAACGCCTCTTCATACCTTTGATTTCACCAATTTATTTATTTGCTTAATGTGTGCAGTGTGCATTAGATTAATACGCTTTTCGTCTTGATAATTCGGAATTCGTTTTTCTCTTAATAAGTGCGCAAATTTTCATTCCAGAGGGAATGGACGAGTTTCTCTCAATGCGGTTGGGGTACGAGAAAGATATAGTCATGGTCAGCGTTTTGTTCACTTCTGGCATGTTCTGTTTTAAATATCTTTGCTAAAGATACAGTATTTCAATATTAATTTTAACGTAACTAAACGTTCCGATGTGGTTTTCTTTCGTATTCCAGACTTTCTAGACAATTCTTAATGTTCGAGAACATTGGAAACGACTATATCACCGCTAACAAGCTGATATTCTCTTGCTCAACATGAATTTTTTACTTCCTATTTAAAACTATAAAAAAAAAAACATTTGAGCTGAGGGCCACAGCCATCGCTGCGTCAATGAAGGCTTTCACGACTATTGTTATCAATCATCACTGGCACTATTTTTGGCTATTTTACAATTATTACAATATCATTCATCATACCTCCTCTTTAAGTGTTTACTAGAATCAGTAACAAAATTGAATATTTCGACTAAAACAATCATTCTCGGCCAGAGACGAATTCAGAAATTGTAAGGTTGCAACCTGGTCTTTGGTTTATTCGTCATGCTAAACCAGAATTATTTTCTTAGCTGGATTATAGGACGAGCAAAATTTACAGCTCTAAATTTTACGACAGAGAGTCGAATATTGTTTGTTCTTTTTATAACTCWTACATATCTTTCGAATTATTGTAATGTTTACTTTAAGGAGTTATCCATGGTCATGATCGGTTTTATCTAGTGTTCGGTAAAACTATCATTTTTTAATGCGGTTCAGATTTGTGCATTTTGGCGAAGTGGCTCCATACAGTTTCTCTTATTTTACTCATTTGACTACAGGATCACCAGCAGTTATGTACGTGTATTTGTGCAAAGCTTGATAACCTGTGTAGACTTGTCCTTCTGATGGAAGCTGTTCATAACCATCGGGTTCAGGACTGTTTGGATTCGGAGATTGTGCCATTGACCGTAATTCTCATGGTCTTTTGACTCTGATGGTTCCAGTATATGGTAATAGGTGTCCGTATCCTTATCTACGTGTGCGCCTTCATCATCGTCATTGTCAAAGGATTTTCGCGAATCGACAAGGTTAGAATCCTGAGGTACTTATTTAATCGCTTCGCCAACCAGCAGGGGTACCGCAACAGCTTGCGCCAATTACTGCGGACCCAATAAACCCACCCATACCACCCCAGGGGAGGACATCCATCACACAGTAATCTCGTGTGTGGGAAATTAACGTCTCCTACCCCAACCCTGCAGGAGACGGGACCTCTCTGGTGACCTAACCTGGTGAAAGGACATCGTCCTCTGTCTTGAGTACATGGTAGTAAGAGTCATTCTCCGTTGTCATAGTAAGAGCCTTTATTGGTATGGAGGAGCTTACATTTAGCCCCTTGCTACGCACCATTAGACAGGACTCCGCATAATCGTACTCTTCCGTTGATGCCTTGGGACAAGTATTCAATAATAGTTCCTCAGAGATTCGTCGGGAGGCAGCTTCAGGAACCTTATAACGTTGCACATATACACCTGTAATTATTAACAAATTCTTTGAGAATTATCCTTATCATCTTAGAATCAGTTGATTACGAGTATCTTTTTATTTATATGCTCGCAATTCTTTTTTTTCCTAATTTAGAGTTAGTCTATTTTTAGCTATGATTTCATCACGCAGTAATAATCCTTGAGAACTTACCTCTTGGTGAGTCGCTTTTTTCCAATGGAGAAAGACTTTGGTATATTGGCTTCCCTTCGGTGTCCTTGTTTTGGTCGTTGTCGTTATCTGCACGCGTTGTCTTTTGTTTTAAGGGTAACGACGACTTATGAGAATTCCTGTGAGTAAAAGGAATGACCACATGTTTATCCTGCTCAAATGCTGGT